CTCGAGTGTGGTAACCTTCATTGATGTTTTTGGTTTCATTACTCATTCATAAAATTAAATTCATAAGCTATATTCAGTCAGTGATACAAGGAATGCTTATTTTTCACTATTGGGAAAAAAAACAATTAAATTCTTGTTTCCACTTTGGCTGTAACAAACAGACGACAAGTTTTGAAAAAAAAAATGGCTTTTATCAAATCAGATTAATTTTACATTGAAATATTTAAAATAAAAGTTAAAATAATTAAAGTAGTTAAATCGTAGCTAGTAGAATGGAAAAAAATGAATATTAATTAGCGACCGGCACACAAATCAGGCTGGGCAGAACCCTGTTTATAGTAATATAGTTGGAGCATAAACATGTCAGAGAGATGGATCCAGAGGCTGATGCTTGATTATTTATTAACATTAAAATGATTGACATTCTGTCATCTTGTGACTTGTGATATTGGGAGATATTGCTCTAGAACAGCATTAAATAAAACAAAATGGCCACTGGTTGGCCATTTTGAATACATCTGTATATCTATAACATGATGTTTAATGAATATATAAAATTTGAACATAATCAGTCAAATAATGTCAGAAATCAGTCAGCCATTTTGAATCCGATTTGTCCCGTAGAACTGCATTCAGTAAAACAAAATGGCTGCCAGTCGGCCATTTTAAATTTGATCTGAAAAACAGAATGACATGGATCAAGGTCCCATAATGTCCAACGTATGCACCAAGTTTGAACAAAATCCATCCATAAATGCTTGATTTTGATGACTTTTCAATACAAAAATGGCTGCCATTCCGCCATCTTGAATCAGATTATGAAACAAATTGATGTGCATATGTAAAATATTATTATATTTATTTGACATACACCCTTTGTATGCGAGTACATATACATGATTCCAATGACTTGTAAGCCCATTGGGCTCGGTGACAGATTTTTATTTTCAAGCATGTGTTTACTGAATATTTTCTTATTGTCACTATGTATTATGTATGTGTGAAGTTTGAATGTACTCTGTCCAGGCATGTCTAAGATATAGGTCCGGATACACACACTAACACACAGAGGCACTGAGTACAAAAATGTAGTCGTCTACAAAAAAATTTTACCAATGTTTAAAGTGCCTGTGCAATGCCCACCCACACGTTTCCCATTTTAGATCTGTGTCCCACTGAAATGGGCAGTTATTGATTTTTTTGCTGAAAATGATTACTCGTATCCAAGTAAATTTGGGATATTTCTCGTGTTGTAGCCACACCCACCTATCCCGAAACGGTCGACTGTTTTCGGATTTCCGACTCTCGCCGAAAGTGCGCCACCAAATGCCAAAATGTGAGAGGAAGTCATACCCCTGAGCCGTAATAACACTGGTCATTCAGTTCACTTAACCCCAGATTCATTTTTTTGTGGAAAAAACTGTCCTCGTCCATGAAAAAAACATCTAGGTTTAAAGAGAAACGCGTACAACGTAAACCTGACACAACACTTTTGAAAGAAATAGTTTCCAGACCAGCCCATGATGACCGACGCGGATTTCAGAAGAGAGAGAGATGTCCGGCAAGTGTTTCAAATGAGTTGACTTTTTTTGCGATCCTGATTATCATTTTATAGAGACCATTTAGTCCCTGTTAAGTAAAAGGTAGCAATAATTTTGACAGTGACACCAAAACGAAGCGTCGGACAAACAGGAAATTACACAGCCCTTACACACTGTTAAATGTTTTCATTTCCGAAGGCTAAAAGTTTCTGAATTGTTCAGTGATTGGTGTTGAATGTCGAATTCACACCTCTGTTCTTTTTTTACCTCCATGCTTGCAGCTTGATCTGCGTAATAATTTATGGAATACTAGTAAGAATCCGGGCTTGGTCAATGTGTTTCCACCAACTAAAGTTTTAATATGATGTTATAATTATGACAATCACGCCATGGTTCACGCTAACTCGAATCCACTCTGGATTTATCTGTATGTGTGTCGATCTTGATTATTTTTGTTATCCAATTAAACGCCGCTTTTAACACACTTGCCCTTGTCGTGACCCGACGCATTCACCTATTTCAATTTATTTCCACGTGGCTGTCATTTATTTAGTAACTGTGATTTGTCGTTTTTTAGAGTTATCACTATAGTCTAATGTTTAGAATGTCGAAATATTTTATTTTGAAAAATGTACTCAGACGATCGATGAAATAAAACAGTGTAGTGACGTGCCTAGTAACCTGCTAAATAACGAGATATTTCCGACGTCAAATTCTGTATTGTCCAGCGACAGTGTACAAACGTGCGCCGGTGTCGGTAACGATCACGGTGACCGGCTACACCAGAATGGACATATTTCGCATCTAACTCAACCCCATGCAACAATAATTGATACTATGTGTTCATTATGGTCCATTCTTTCTCGACGAACAAGTACATAAGTGACAATTTAGTCAAAGACAAGAAAACAGCACAAGAATCTTGCCTTATTTACACATATCGGCAATGCAAGCTGCCCTGCGACTTCTCCTTCTGACGTCACAAGGGGAATTTCTGTATGCAAATGAGAAGCTAATGAGGAGCCTCGTTTTAAAATACCCAAAAATAAAGTTGCCATAGACTAAGTTTAAAACACATTTTTTCACTTAAAAAAAATAATTCATGCTCAGAAACATAAAAATTAATAATATTTATGTATCAATGGATAATTTTAGGCGTGAAAATAGCAGCCATTTCACAGGCACTTTAAGAAAGAAGTTTTACTTTAGAAGTCAACATACATGTATTATTGTTACAAAATTTATAAAAATTTCAGTCACATCATTTGTGTTAATGTAAGTATTAAGTAGGGGGGGGCTTGAGCAAGTGAATCTATGCAATCTGATAGGACAGCTACCCTGGTTCAAGTGAATCTATGCAATCTGATAGGACAGCTACCCTGGTTCAAGTGAATCTATGCAATCTGATAGAACAGCTGCCCTGGTTCAAGTGAATCTATGCAATCTGATAGAACAGCTACCCTGGTTCAAGTGAATCTATGCAATCTGATAGGACAGCTACCCTGGTTCAAGTGAATCTATGCAATCTGATAGAACAGCTACCCTGGTTCAAGTGAATCTATG